GATACCAAGCAGTTCCCCATAAAATGGATTCCTTCCTTCCTTCCCAAGAGAAGTGTGGTGGCATGGAGGGAGAACAGGGAAGAGCTGCATAGAGCATCAGTTGCACCATGGCAGAGCTCATGCCACATGAGAAATAGTTGGAACTGCATTCTTGTGATCTGGGGTGTTAGCAGCTACACTGGTTGTTTTGCACCCCAACAGTTCTTCTCTAGAATTATAATTGTCCCTTCTTTCTTGACCATTGGACTGGAGCACCCTTACCCACTTCACTGTGAGAGACAAAGGAAAAACTTTGTCCTTCTTGCCCTAGTAAAATGGAGCATTAGTCTATACCAGTAGAGGGGTCCTACTGGTTCGGACTGGTTCAGCTGAACCAATAGTGGTTTGGCGGCCTGGGTTGCTGGAACCGGCAGTGACTCAGGCCTGCCACGCCCCTGAACCGGTTCTCCAGGCGGTGCCATAGACGCCGCCATCTTGTTTTTTGCTTCTGCACAGAACAATTTTTATTGCACTGCGCGCAGCGCACCCACAAGCAAACCAGTAGTAGTGACTGCCGGATCCACCCCTAGTCTATACCACCACCATTTGGAAGTGGAATTTGTGGTATGAAAGCAAATTTATCAGTCCAAAGAAAACATAAGGCAAGGTTGTGGTTCTCTGAGGGTCTGTCCTTTCTGAATTTTCCTCTTCGCAATGGCAAAAGCAACCCCTGTTATGGAGTCTTTAAAAAAAAAATATGTTGGAGCATATGCACTAGGATACCCAGGGAAAGCATTGCTTGAATTTTGGTTCATCAGATAGATGCTGTTCCTCCAGAAAAGTAAATATGCTACAGATCTAATTAATCACATGGACCAAGAGAGGGAAAACTTTCCAGGAGACACATAGAACTGGAGTCTGACAGAGAAACAGGAAAGGAAAATAAAAAGAAACCAGCAATGAATGAGTTTTGTTGAAAAATAAATTTATTTACAGGGCAGGATCCCAGAGTTTCGTCATAAAAATAAACAGGATCCAAACCCCAGTGCAGAGGTAACTAGAGAGGGACAGATCCCCATCACCTCTGGCTCAGGGACCAAGACCAGTTCAACAATGAAGAGAAACAGGGAAAATAAATAAATTTCCCAGACCATCTTGTAGGACTTCCTCCATGGGAAAAAGAATCCCAACAAAATCTCTACTTCAACCAAAAATGTTAAATCCCTGGATTTTGCCCTGTTCTTTTCACATTATCTCACCAATCCCTGCTACACTGGCACTCTTAGCAACTCAAAGTGCCACTGAGAAAGAAATAAATTCTGAATATCATAGACTCAGCATGTTCAAGTGAGAAAGGCAAAAAAGACACTCCTGGTTTTTTGTATGTGTTAGGTACATTTTCTTGCTATAAATTAAATCAAATATTCTTAGAATCGGTCATGCAAAGTATCCCATTCAGGGACTACGAGGGAATTAGCATTTTCCCCTGACATTCTCCCAATTAAATTTGGAGGCTACAGCCGTATTTCTATGGTTAAACATAAGCCCGAAAGATGTGGATACACATTCCCATCAAAGCTTTGCAGAATGACAGATCAAGCTCTTAGCCCTTTTCATCAAGAATGACCAGGCCAACTTAATGCAGGTTGGCTCCAGCTTTATTTTATTCAAGTCCTATTGGGGAGGAGGGGGGGTCAGAGATCATCCTATCTTCTTAGTCCCATCTTTTCAAAATCATCTAAAAGCAGCCTCTTGAAAATATAAGACCAAATGCAAGCTGAAAAACTTACAAAATTTAGACTGTGAAATGGAATGAAATAAAATCATGGTGCTTTATATAAACCACAGAAATGAGCAATAATATTTTTCCTGGATTGTACTCTTGTTACACAGCAATGCTCCACCATGTCCAATTCTCTACCACCACCACTTTGATTTCATTAACGAATAAACAACTGATGTACCAGTTGGGCATTGCAGAAAAATCCACTTTATAATGGGAGCAAAATGTACTGACAACTGCAACCCAGTGTACATTCCAGGAAAAAAAAATGGTATACCTGATTCATTTGTGAAGAAACACAAACCTCAATGGGTCTTTAGAATCAATGATACTGTGGTATTATTAGTTCTTTGGGATGGAAGTTCATTGACATTACAATTGGTGCCCTAGTCCATGACAATTAATAAGATTTTATGGTGCTTTACGATTCCTGGTAGAGGCTGGGGGCTTTTATTTGTCAAGTGAAATGATCTGATCTATAATTTTGTTTTCACTTGATTATTTTATTGCAGAGACTTGGATCCTTGCTGGAAGAGGTCAGACTTCAGTCTTAAATAAGGGGATTGTTTTGAAATTCACTAGCCATACATATGAGATTGAGTCTTGCCTTATTTTCCAGATTCCTTTTCTGCAAGGTCTTAAGTATGCAAACTGGATGGCTGTCTTTCAGGACTGTCATCATGAACAGTATTAAACGAATACATGTCTGTTAACAATTTCAGGGCAAGTAAGGCTGCTCAATATCCTACTGAGAATGGAATCTGCTCATTCCTGCCTTTTGTGCACTGTCAAAAGAATTCCTGCCTTTTTAAAAAAAATAAAAATAGTGGCAACTTTTCCTATTAAACATACTCATTTCGAAAAGTTAGCCAGCTGGCAACTAGAGCTTCTGCAGTTTTTAGCCATTTGGTAGAAATACAAATTTCTCACCGGAAACTTTTCTCTCTTCTACATCAAAAGCCACCTCCCTTTAAATGCCACCTTGTAAGAGGAGGATAAAGTGCAATATTTCATGGCTGTACAAAAATCTTGTCAAAGAAACATATTCAAACCAATTGTTTGAACAGTGTGAGGAATGCTATGTCTTGTGCATTTGAGGATTTTAATGGAATGGAGAGAAAATGCACTTTCATGCTCATCTGTTCTAGAAGGACATTTCCTGACTTAAACTGGGGGAGCATTTTAAGGCTACTTCTGCTTCTCTCTCATTTAACATTTTGCCAAGCAGATACAGTACCCAGTTTATTACAGTACTTCATCATTTCACCATGAGGAAAGTATAAAAGGATTCACATCTACTGCCTTCACCCAGTTCAATTAAAATTTCTGGAAGCAAAAATTGGATTTTGGATTTCAGTGGACTTAAAAATGTAAATCATCAAAGATCCCCATTTAATTTACTTTTGTGGTTAGGATACTGTCAACTTACAATTATTTTTATTAATGTTATTTGAAAGATATTAAGCACTTTCAGAGTGAATTCTCTAAATTATCGGTTTTCCCTTTTTTGAAGATAAAGGAATCCATAGCCCTATGAATCCTGAAGAGTTACTTATGAAAGGAATATAAATATATACCTATGTGTCTGTATTCTGAATATATATACCTTTATCATGTATCTCTGTGTGTGTCTATGTGCTTCTCTCTCTCTCTCTCTCTCTCTCTCTCTCTCTTTCTTTCTCTCTCTCTCTCTCTCTGTAAAATGTTTGCAATCTTCTTTAATAGTCCTTTTGCAATTGCTCCTTGAACATGCCGCCATAGCAGGGATATCTTTATTTTATGTGTCAGCAATAATATATGGCTACAAAATATTGTCTTACTCTAGCACAAAGTTTCTGAAAGCTGCACAAGTTGAAGTGAGGAAAGACGCCCGGGACCGCAGTGCTACTATTTGGCTCTGGGAGCCACACCCTCCTAAGCCCTATTAGGACTTTAAAGCAATTAACCCTGAAGACCAAGCTTCAGGATGGAGAGTGCCGAAGCAGCCATTGGTCCTAGACAAGATTCTTGTAAAGCTACTTTGCTGGGTGCTCTCAATAAAACTGGGCAAGCCCAATGGCACCTGCATGAGAAAAACAGAGGTTTAATGTGGAAAGCCAATGACTTAAGAAAGCAACCATACCTCAAAGGGTTTGAACATTTGCATCGGCTTCCACATGGCTTGACCTATGGGTCAATAATGGCTTACATGACTTATTCATTGTTTGCATATGGTGTACTCAAAGTATAACCACATTCCACTTACAGTTTACAAGAAACATTGTTTGCAATTTTACTGATGGCTACGCATGGTTTACTCATGGCCTGCATGTAGGAAGGCTAAAATAAAACTGAAGGTTATTGTACGAAAGTACACTGCAGATCCATTACAATGCAAATACTTACTCTTGATGAACTAGTGGCATTACATAAACGTGCCACAAAATAAAGCTTTGTTCCTTTTTTACACATCAGCTTGAATGCTTTGTGCTCAGCCACAAAATAACCTTCCTTTCCATCTGTTTTTCTGAATATGAGTACAGCATGCATGTGTGTATATGTATATTGTGTGTGTGTGTTGTGTGTGTATACACCCACATACATACCCACATACCCTCACACATGCATGCTGTGCTCACAGTTTACTCTAAAGTACAGTTTACTTATACACAAATCACATATGATTTACACATGATTTGAATGGTAACACCCATGAATTGTACCTGATTGTTTTGCAGATTGCTGATCACACAAAGTGCCTAATTTATTAAATAAAACTGTAAATCACCTCTTATAAAGCACTTAGATTTCTCCCAGGAGGAGGCAATATGGAAGTGCAACAAAAATATAATCAATATTATTATTAATGCTACAGAATAGGATGATTAAAAAATAAACCATATTTTTCTGGCTATAAACGTTTGCTTTTGAAGCCTTCCCAAATCCAGTATCTAAAATATTGATTACATCTTAAATCTCCTACTCAGTTTCATCTCTTTCTTGCCAGAATAAATCCAGGTAGACTTGCTTAATTCCCTATGAAATCGGATTCTATCTCAACACTTCAAAATTACAACAGCGCTCCATTGGGCATATCTTTTAAACTCACTTCTACACCAATCACATAGAAAGGTTGGAGCAGGGAGTGAGTTAAAAGCAAGTTGGCATCTAGATGGTGAAATCCTGCTCCTAGTTCACCTCTCTGCAGTCAGTTTCCCAAGTAATTTAATTAAAGTTTTACATACTGAATGAGACTTCTCCAAGAGCATAGAAAAATCACTTGGGAGTACAGTACAAATTGTGAGGAGGTAAGCCTGTTAGTTGCAAAAAATTCAGGCACATTCCTCTTTTGCTTTCTTAGCAGGGTCCTGTACCCTGCTGCCCATTTTCATCATGATTCATATGCAAGATTTTAACCCACAGATTTTCTGACATTCTAAATCCCAGTGATCACAAATTTTAGTGAAGCCATTCTCCAATGATAGATTTTCTAATACCCAAGTTCAGAGTCTGGCCTGACCTTCTCATCAAATGTTTGCTTCGATCCTTCTTACTGGTATTAATGTGCTGATTTGCTCTTACAGAGCCGACTTTCGTTATCCATACTTTAAGGAACTGCTCAGTAGCTGTTAGTATTCCTGGAATGATACCAAGAATGCCAAGGGACATTGCAGGGAACATCTTCAGCACAAGGCAAGTTAGTGTCTATGGGACCGCATATTCTCTCCAAATACACCCTGGAAAAGGCTTCAGACTGGTGTCTTCTCAATAGTTTGGATTAAGACTTGAGATCTTCAACCATCAGAGTTGGAAACTGTTCTTATAAAGAACCTGGTCCATCATTATTGAAGTTCCATTGCAAACTCTACTGGGAATAATTTCAAAACCACATTTCTCCACACTACGCCCTTTTCCCTTCAAAATTTGTACACAGGTACATACAAACAATTAGAGAGCGAAATGCTTTCCAACTTCACTTTAAAATAATCTTCTTTCATTCCCATCCTGTGGTTTAAAAAATAGCTATCAAAATGGACAGATGAAAAGATAAATATAGATCTGAACCATCTCCTTTTCTCTTAATACAACTCTCTTGACAATAGATAAAATTGTGATATATAGATATAGATACTCTGTGAAAAAATAGAAGGTGCCAGGAACTCTGATTAAGAATTGGCTGATACCTCTGAAATAGCACATCTTTTGTGGCATTAACAAATATTTATGGATAACCTCCAAAAAAAAACCACAATAAACTAGCGATGAAATTCTTGTCATCTGAATACATGAGTTCTAATAAACCCACTGATAAAGAGACGCAGCCCTTTGCAGAGTCCCTTTATGGTGCATTTGAAATAAAATGTGGAACTATAGAAATATACCATTTCCACTGTTTCCATTTAAAAAAGCTTTTTTTTGGCTCCAGGAATTGAAGAGATTGTAAGATAGTGGATTTGTCATTGCTGTTTCCAGGATGACTCAAGAGTTGGAAGAAAACTGGAGAGGTATGTGAGATCAGGATCAATCTGTAATGAATATTTTTCCACCGTAATAGCCGATGCCTGATATTTCTTCTATGATGACAGAAACGAAACCATAAAAAGCAGTCAAAAATAGAGAGGGTAAAGACTTCCCCTTTGGCCATTTCTGTCATGTCCTCTGATCGCCAGGAAATAAATTAAGGAAACCATTCTGCTACCAAAAAAAAAAAAAAATAGGTCTTGAATACAGTAAGCAGACTTGATTCTCTGGTCTCCACATTGACGAATCGGTGACTTTTGACCAATGGGGGGAAATGATCAAAACCTCCCCAGCTATAATCTTGGTGGCAGATGGAGAATTTTTCTCCCAAAGAAATACCAGAAACATTCTGACTTCAGTGAGTAAAAAAAAAAAAAATCACAATTAACTGAGCTTAAACTAAATGCAACTGATGCTGTTGCTTTTGCTGGTCAAATAGAAGATGGCTGACAGTTTGTTCCTACTGTGTTGCACAGCAAACACATCCCGTTATTTTTCCTCCCTATGAAACCAAATCGAATACAATAACGACTTATCAGTATTCTTGGAAGAAACATGATCAACAGTGCTTCCTCTCCTCTACTTTGTTCACCTGCAACCGATGTGAGTTGCTATGGCACTCCCACACCTATCCATCCAAGATCAAAGCTGACCAAAATCCCTTATGACTGTATATCCTGCCAAAACAAAAAAGGCTTGCATATCAGCGTGTTGTCCATATATAGATAAAACAAATTAGACTGGCACTGGTTTCTTTGTATACTCCTAAAATGAACCTGGCTGGTAGGATCTATTTACTTCTCTAATAATAACTAAGCTAAAGTAAGCCAGGAAAAAAAAAAGGTAGAGATGAAGTCAAATACTTGATTTATCTTGCAAAGTGGATGAAGATTGGTAGCCTTCTTGATCTTGCACCATCAGATGAACTGTTATTAAAAGTGACTACCACCACAGGGGACAGATAAAGAAAGCCATATTGCCACAACAGTGTCAAATAAAGGCAGCCTCTTGGAGAGGCGACCAAATAAAGCTTAGATTCTCATTGCCCTCGCAGACATATTTGAGGGCTGCCTGAATTTTGCAACAAGAAGCAAGTGCGACACATCAAGTGCTTGATACCAGCAAAACACCATTTGGTTCCAAAGAAAAATTCCGGCAGATCAAAGATTAATGGATGAATCTGCTTGCCTATGCCATTTCCATTCTTCAAGCTGACGTGGCTTGAATCATCAAAGGGTTCTTCCAGTTAACGAAGGGACACATAGCTTCTAGCTGAAGTAGACCCAAGTGCTTGAAAAGAGACTCAAGCCAGTTCTTTGGCAGGAGTAGAGAAATGTGGTGATGCAGAGGGAAGATTATGGCTTCTGGGGACCAGGAGAAAGGACTACAGGGGTGGAGAGTCCATCCACACTGAGTGACGGGATGTGAACCTGTGAGCTAGAATTACTGGGAAACTGAAAAAGAGAGAAAGAGGGAAAAGCTTAGGATCTGCCTAATGATTGCGTAGCCTATGAAAAAAAAACAATTTTTTTTCTTGTTTCAAAAGTTTTATTTCTTTTAAGGCAAACATTTCATCATTCCTCAATCAGTAAGACATCGAAGTACAATTTCTTATATATCAAAATAATTCTAGTTTACCACCAAATTCTTGTCTAGCCTAATATATACCCCTCCCTCCACCCTCTCCCCCAACCCCCCGCCACCTTCCCCCCCCCCCGACTTCCCAGAACCCGTACACGGTATGGATTTCTAACAAACACAGTCTAAAATCTATTG